GAAAAACCAAAGGAAAACCTAATAAAATGTGGATTTATTAGGCATGCACTTGAGGAAAAGGTTAATATTTGCAATTTAATTTCTATAAAAAGGTCTAAGAGCATTTATTCCACAAAAAAAAACAACTGAGATTTCTCTTTTTCCCCCCCAGAAAATGACTTTAATAGAAGAATTACAGGCCAGAACAACCAATGATTGAATCTGTTATGAATTAAACTCCGGGTTACACCAGAAGAGTTCATAAATAAAAATTTGATGAAGTCAAACATCTGCAATTTCTCATCTAAAAATTAATGCAAACATGAACCAAAATGAAAACCAGAGCCAAAAATGAATATCATTAATTAAATAATTAAATGAAGAATATCAGTTAATATAAGTAAATTACAAATTTTAAACAAATATTAATGCAAACATCTGAAAACGGGACACTTTTTAATACTTTATGTAAAAAAGCAGCTCTCTGCAATGTTGAAATTGGGAATAAATGTGATCAGTCATATGATGATGTTTTCCTCAAACACATTATTCAGAGCTCAGTTAAAGTGGAACTGGGTCCTGCAACGTCAGCAGATGAAGAACTTTAACATCAGATCAGCATTGATGAAGAAATAAAGCACAATGAACACTTACATGATTGCAGTCGGCAGCGATTTCAGTCTCCTGAAGAGAAGAGAAGAGTCATTTCATTATTCAGCATTCTTAAAGGCACAGCTCACTCAAATATATTACGTTTTCATTTACCAATCCCACACTTATCTTAAACGGGCAGTTCACTTAAAAACATTAGTTATGTCCTCATTTACCAATCCTACACCTAACTAGTGAACTGTCCATAAGACAAGTGTAGGATTGGCAATGAATGAGTGTGTATGGGTGCATCGGCTGTGTAAAACATTTGCTGGAATAGTTGGTAGTTCATTCCGCTGTGGTAAATAATGCACTGAGCTAAAGGAAAATGAATGAATGAATAATGATGAAATGTAATTTGAGGTGTACTGCGCCTTTAAGAGTCGTTAGTTAGTAGGCAAACTGTAAGCATTAGCCTAGCACTGTGTGTGTGTTAGTGTGCTGCTGTTTGACTGAGGTGTGTGTTGTTGACTTTTAGGCTTAGAGAGAGTGTGTGATTGTGTGTGTAAGATAATAAAAGAAGCTCACGAAGACTCTGATCCTGCTCCACATCCGCTTTGACCATCACATTGATTGACTTTGTAATATATAACTGACTCTAAGATGTATTAGAGCAGCACGACTACTATAACAACACACTCATTTATTCCTGATTAACAGCCAATCAGAAGAGGACGAGCGTTTAAAGAGACAGTGCTTATGATGCACATTACTGATGCTGGTATTATAGTTCGTGTGTGTGTGTGTGTGTGTGAGAACAGGTCTGCTGTGTGTTAATGAATGAACCACCAACTATTCCAGCATGTTTAAAGAGACAGGCAGAGCAGTGTTCAGCAACAGTCCCGTGACTCTGAATGAGATCATATAATGACAAACTGACTGCAAACACTAGAGAAAAAGCATCTAAAACATCTGACATATGGACATATAGAGGAGTAGAGACTGAAAACCTGTCAGACTGCAGCTTTACTGCATTATTTACATCTCCTTCCTGATGTGTAGGAGAGGGAAAATGTGCACTGGTATATTACAGAGACTCAAAGCTAAGCTCATCTCTAGCCTTTTTTCCTCAAGTTTTATGTCCTGATGTGCGTGTGCGGTGTATATTTATTATGTACATTAATACACACATTTCAGAAAATATACAACCCTGCAGTGGATTGGTTGGATCTTGATTTATGATGTCCAAACATGTACAGAACATAAGCAGAACTGAACACGAACATATCTAGAACTAAATGCGAAGATACCTAGAATAGAACCAGAACTAAACCCGAGTATATACGGAACAGAACTAGATTTAAGCCCAAATATATCCAGAATGTAACTACAACTACTGCAAATATATCCAGATCATAACCAGAAATAAACCTGAACATAACCAGAAATAAACGTGAACATATCCCGAACATAACCAGAAAAAAACCCAAACATAGAGAACATAACCAGATTTAAACCCAAGCATATTTAGAACATAACCAGAATAAACTTGAACATATTCAGAACATAGATCAAAATGCAAACATATTCAGAACTAAACGCAAACATATACAGAATATAACTTGAATTAAATGTGAACATATCAAGAACAGAACCAGATTTAATCCCAAACATAACCAGAAACAAACCCAAACATATCCAGAACAAAACCAGAAAAAACTGCAAACATATCCAAAACAAAACTAAATGCAACCATGTCCAGAACATAACCAGATTTAAGCCCAAATATTCGGAGCATAACAAGACCTAAATGCACACATATCCTGAACATAATCAGAAATAAACCCAAACATATCCAGAACATAACTAGAACTAAATGCAAACATATCCAGAACTAAACGCAAACATATCCAGAATATAACTAGAGTTAAATGTGAACATATCAAGAACACAACTAGATTTAATCATAAACATATCCAAAACATAACCAGAAACAAACCCAAACATATCCAGAACAAAACCAGAAAAAACTGCAAACAAATCCAAAACAAAACTAAAATGCAAACATGTCCAGAACATAACCAGACAAATGCGAACATATCCTGAACATAATCAGAAATAAACCCAAACATATCCAGAACATAACTAGAACTGAATGCAAACATTTCCAGAACATTAAACTGAAGTAAACCTGAACATATCAAGCACTAAACACGAATAGATCCAGAAAATAACGAGAAATAAACCTGAACATTAACGGTACACAACTAGAACTAACTGTGAACAAATCCAAAACATAACCAGATCTAAACTCAAACATTTCCAGAACTAAATCCGAACAAATCCAGAACATAACTAGAACTAAACCCAAATTTATCCAAAACTTAACCAGAACTAATCCCCAACATAATCCACTATTCAGCAGGTTTGCGGTGCAGCATAAAAAAAAGACAATCTGCCATCATGGTACTTAAAACCCAGGGTTGGTGCAAACTAAACTAAAACTTAACTGGCTAACCAGCTAATCCAGCTTCATGGTACAGGTCCCAGCAGCTAAAAGCCTGGCCAAGTAACAAAACATTGCTAAAAACAGCATCTAAATCCAATTTAAGACACAGTAACCCATCCTGACCCCGTACAGTCTGAGCTGAGAGATCCACTCTGGGTTTACGCACTCCTTAACAGGATTAAAGCTACCGATTCTCCATCTGATCTCTCATCTGAGGGAAAAGAACACCGTGATGACACAGAGAAGCCTCAGATATAAGAACATCAGCCTGCTCCACATCATCTGAACACTGCACTCTTTAATTCAGACTTTAGCCTCTGGCAGATTATGAATAATGGAGGTAAACAAACGCTCTCCATTCACTCCTCATTATATTCATACGCAACAACGGGGGACACTGAATGGAGAAATCAGCAGCCTTACTGTGTAAATGAATGACTCTGTCAGTCCTCGGAGTCAGAGGAAACCCTGCTATAAGCTGTTCATTACACGCATCATTCAAATATACCATGGTAAAAACAACTTGGGGCTGCACAATATACAGTTTCAGCATCGCTATCGCAAAACAATAATCACATCGCAAAGATATGCAATGCTGAGTTGACTTCACAGTGTCATTTTTACATGTGCATATCCAAAACCCCAATGCATGCACAGTTCATTCCGCTTTTATCTTTGCTTCGTTGCATTTATCTGTGCTTGTAGATTGTTTGATACATGTTATGCATGATTTCCTCCTCTAGAAAATCCTGCCAAATGTATTCTGGTTGATTGGGAACACTTTAGGGACCAATTCTCAATATTAACTAGTAGCTTATTAGCATGTAGTTATTGAGATATTGGCAGCTTATTAGTACTTATAAAGCACATGTTCTGGATGATCGTAATCTACATCCCTATAATCAATACCTAAACTAGCTTAATAACTATTAATAAGGAGCAAATTTGGAGTTTAGTGAAGCAAAAGTCAAAATGGTTTGCTAAGAGCGAGAGCTGAACCTTAAAATAAAGTGTGAGCAAAAATAATGTCCAAGTATAACAATACATCACTATTTATATTGGCTGAAAAACTCAATATCGCAATGTCCGATTTTTCCAATATCGTGCAGCCCTAAGGGCAACCAAAAGAGAAACAACAAATCATGTGATGAGAAATAATCTGTGATTTTACAAACCTGTAGTGCAATAACAAACGCTTCAAGACATGACCTGTAATGTCAATAATCAGCCAGAGGAATGTCACTAATGTAGAGCTGCTTTCATCAATTAAAATCACATACAAAAACAGTGTACACTGTTAAAAAAGCAGCATGAATTAAATCATGTTGTCTGAACACATATCGATTAAGTTCATTCATTCATTTCAGCTTACTCCATTATTTATCAGGGGCTGCCACAGCGGAATGAACCACCGTATTCGTTAATGGCGCATGTGTTTGGACTGTGGTGGAAACCGGAGCACCCGGAGGAAACCCACACCAACACGGGGAGAACATGCAAACTCCACACAGAAACACCAACTGACCCAGCCGGGACTCAAACCAGCGACCTTCTTGCTGTCAGGCCACAATGCTAACCATTGAGCCACCGTGCCCTCAAGTTAACTCATAAACATAATGATTCCAGTATTTAAGTCAACTTAAACTTAAGTGGATTATACTTGGGAATTTTGTTGTTTCTGTTCAATTTAAATCAGTTCATAATGTATGTTTATATAATAGTATATGTATTAAGATGTCATATAACATGCACAACATATATTATTTACATAACATTTGTGCATGTATATTAGGGCTGTACAATATATTGTCTGAGGATCGATATCACAATGCGTGAGTCACAGTTTACACTAACATTACTAAACACAAGAGTGAAAGCCTGAAGCAGTGTACTGATGCTGTGACACGTTACCTGATAGATTCAGAAGACAGAAGAGGCGTTAGATAGAGACTAGATTAATTAAAGATCACCTTTAACAACTATAGGGAAACGCCATCCAGCGGGACATCCTTGATAGACTGTCCCACGTGCACAGCTCTCTGGGGTTTTGTGCTCGAAGCACCCGCTGACTGCTGGAGCTCAGACGTGCAGACTGCAGCTCATGACAGTGTGTGTGTGTGTGTGTGTGTGTGGTCAGGTAATGTGCGTTTTCAGTGGTACAGTGTGGACGGAGATCTTTTCAGAAATGCTAGTTGAACCGTCAGTGTGGATGTGTATCTTTTTCATTCTTGAACGCCATTTTAACACTAAGCTGTATTAGTGTATACAGGCCTGAGTGTGTGTTTTCCGTGAGCGGGTTGCTGCTGTGACGGGGGCGGGGTGGAGGATTGCGATGCCGGCTCAGCATCATGATGTCTATCGTGCTGGAATCTGTCATCGTTTATCGACCCAACCCCAGTAAGTTCCCAGTATCATGCAGCCCTACCGCCTGCTGTTTTCCTCATACCTATAATTCTGCTAATAATAATAATAATAATAATGCACCATAATGAACTTGACTGACAGAGAGAGCACATGATGCAAATTTAGAGGCTGAGAATAAATTAAGACCTTCAGCAATCAGCAAGCGGTCAGATATTTAGAGATCATCAGCATCTGCAACCCATTGAAAAGTTAGAACAGTTGCTGAGGCTTTTACGCTCCATTCACACGGGGCTTCAGCGTCAACGCTTGACTGAAGGCGTGTTTGAAGTTGGAGCTGAAGCGATCATCATAGCAGCGTCAGCCAATTAAATTCAGTCCACAATAGGCCACTGTCTAGCTGGTGTATTTGCATACTGCGATCTGATTGGCTGACGCTTCCGTTGATGCTTGAAAAGTTGAGCTAGTCCCAACTTCTGCAGCGAGCAACGCCTCTGAAGCGGCGCAGACGGATTCACAATGCAGCTCGGCAACGCCTGACGTCACACATTCAAAGTGAACGGGAAGCATCGACGGTTACACGGGGTGTTATATCTGTATGTTGAAGCACTTCCAACTGAAATCGAATATTGAGTAGGGGGCGGAGCTTTCAGTTGTGTATCATTCCCTCCTATTAACCCAGGGGTGTCCAGCCCTGGAGGGCCGGTGTCCTGCTTAGTTTAGCTCCAACTTCCTTCAACACACCTCAATGGAAGTTTCTAGTATACCTGGGAAGAGCTTGAGAAGCTGCTTCAGGTGTGTTTAATTGGGGTTGGCACTAAAATATGCAGGACACCGGCCCTCCAGGACTGAGTTTGGACACCTCGGTATTAAACTAATGGTAGGTAGTTTACAGTCTTCTGTTGATTTGCTGGAGTGCACACTGGTCAACTAAAGTGGTTCGAAATTGTGTTACGCAACACAAAGTAGCCATAAAGTTAGTGTTAACCTTACATCGCATAGACATTATCAGAAGAATAAATGCATGAATAACACTACATTACACATTATAAAGCACTCACAATCACAAGCAGCTTAATCAGCGAGCTCCAGCAATAAACGGATGTGACAGATCACAGTGAAGATGATCAAACATCTCACAGCAAACACCACTGCTAAACCTGCTTCTGCTTTCAGTACGACTATGAATGATCCTCGAACTCACACTGGCAGCGTTTACCACTGAATACAGCACATGATCAGCAGCTGAGGTGTTCGCTGGCATAGTAGTTTATGCTGTTGTTTAGTCGTGACATTGCACCAATAGCAACGGTTTATTACTTTTTTTAACTTTGCACACCACTGGCGCAGACGGTTCTGTTAAAGGGTCACGAAACACTAAAACACATGTGTTGAGCTGTTGACAGTGGTATATGTGTCCCACACTGCTGAAAACACTATTAGGACACCTATATCTCACTAAAAAGTGTAAATTGGTTGTTTTTGTGTTATTTCAAGCAAATTCGTACTTCCGGTTTGAAACGAATTCTTAAAGCTGCGTCACGGTCATGACATAATAGCGTGTATTCCAGCGTGCAGACTGGACGTCTGTGCCAGAGTGTGTCTTATTACATCTTACAGTGTGATGCATTAATGCATGAGTAAAGCTTGGTTCAAACCAATCAGCGCGCTCTATTGTGCAACTTCATTAATATTCATTACTGTCACAGTGTTTAGACGACAGAGACGCCACGTTGTGTTGGCAAAACAAGCGTGAAGTGTTGCTTTTATAGTTTGCTGCAGTGAAGTTTTGTTTTCATTTTCTCTCTGTGAGAGCTCAGCTGGAGTCACGTGTGGATTAACAGTGTACGCGACGCTCGACAACAATAACTTACGTGTCTAAGGAGGATTATTGTTTACCTGAGAGCTGTTCTCATCTGCAAACGCTGAGATCCGGATTGGCTTGTAGTCTTCTCTTAATAAAGACGCGGCTCTAGTTACTGGTGATTGTCCTGTCTCTACAGATTTGGCAAGTGAGTGACCAGCACTCTTTGTTTATTCAGTTTGTTCGTATCGAACTAAGTTAACTATTGCACAGAGTGTAAACATGTTAGCACCACAACCAAACTTTAACCTCGTGTAGGATTTTCACCACATTTAGTGACCGGAATAACACACGCGGGTTTCTGACACTATCTGCCGAGTGCATCTAAGTTTCCAGGAAATGCTGAGTTTTTTTTTTTTCTCATTCGCCGTGCGGTATCAAACATTGCATGAAAATACACGCTTAGAGCAGCTCCTCCAATCAAATGTCTCTTTGTCGCGAGGGACATGAATGAATTCCCTGAATAAAAGAGCCAAACGGCAGGTAAAGTCCACCATTTAATCATTTGGCAAATAATTCTACTACAGATGTCCATGTAAACACCATCACTTTCTCCCCTGTGTGTGTGTGTTTTTACTCTGAAACCCAAACAGACACTCCCACACCATGCCTCTTTTCTTCCTCCGACACACCCCCTAAACAAAGTTGGACACGCCCACTTTTCTGACTTTTTCCAAAGTAGAGGAGTGAACACCCTGCTGAAACGAGGGGCTTTCATGGCCCTTTAATAACAACCTTTAACATGGAAAAGTTCACTTTATGGAGTGCTGCGCGGTGTGCAGTTAGGACACGGTGGTCCATTCATTCAGGAGTCATTCAGCGTCTTTTCAACTGCAGAAAACAATGAAAAGAACCTCTACATGCAGGTCAGAAAACTGCGTTTACAACATCCTAACCAACTGAAGACATCAAATAAAGACGGGTTATCAACATCAAACGTGCTGTAGAGAAGCCCATACTGATGCTGACACCCCAAAACACCTTCATTTGGATTTCAGAGGGATTTAAAGTCGTCACTGTAGTTTTTACTTCAGTATGTTGACGTACTTCCAAATAAAACAGAATATTGAGCAGGGGGCGGGGCTTACTTTTGGCGCATCATTCCCTCATAGCAAACTACCTGTAAGAGGGGCGTGGCTAAGAATATCATGGCTGAAGGGTCAACAGAGGAGCCACTTCAAACTCAGAAGCTCAGACTGAGGCAGTAGTTTTCCCCAGTGAATTAACTTGTGCTGATTAATGGAAAACAACAGTACATTTTGATTTCAGACGGACTTTAAACGAACAGGACCGAGCGTGACGTCACGCGGAACTCAGCTGACTCACTCCGCGCTCTTGGGCGTATCAGTGCGTCCTAAGTAGGCAGCTTTAGAGTTTGAAACACGGCCAGAAACAGCAAACACACTTCCAGCCCCTCCGTTAGTCGTGATAACTCCATTTTAGCACCTCGAACCTGAGAAACGTCACGGATGCGTCATTCAGAGGCCTTTTCTTGCCGCGTCTGCTAACGGCACACTCAACGGCTTCTGCTCTCGTTATCCGTGTTATTAGTGTTAACGTTAACTCATGAGTGTCGCAAGAAAAGCTGCGTGTTACTGTATTCATCATTATCATCATCAGTGAGTCGCTACTGTTTCACTCACACACACAAGCACGCACGCACACACATATACGTTAAACACACACACACAACTCTCCACAGACACACACTGGGCCGGATTTTCTTACATCTTTGCGGTCCTGCAGGCACTCGAGCACGGCCAGGTTGTTGTTCCAGGAGTGTTTGGGGCAGATCCGGCTCACGTCTTCCCGACAGGCCGCCTCCTCTGCTAGCTTCCAGCCGCCGCTGCGCCGCACCGACGCCCCGTCCAGCGCCGCCGCGTTCTTGGCCCGCTCGGCGTTCTCCGCCGCATTTTCGGTGCCCACGATCACCGATTTGAGTCCGCGAGAGGAAGAGATCCAGCAGGAGAAGAGGATCAACAGCAGCAGGCGCTGCACACGTCCACACGCCGCCATCTTCGCTCGGCGAGATTACGAATCCTACTACGGCCAAGAACGCGCTCATGAATATTCATTAGCGCATGCTGACGTCCGAGTCCTGAACGCGCACTGCCTGATTAATATTCATGAGCTGGATCCCCCGCCGTAGTAGGATTGGTCGTGGAAGCAGTGCGGAATTACGGTGTTCGAGGTGCTCACCGGTGGGTACAAACACCGGCCACGTCGACTGAAGAATAAACGATCGGAATATAAATGAGATAATTAGCATTCAATTGGGAATAAGATAAAATAGGCGTAGATTTGAGCTCATGTCTTTAACTTGTCTCTATGTAAATGCAATGTATGGACAGGGTTACAAGTTTTGTTCAAGTGTAAATGATGACACCGCTTCTGCAGTCATTTGTGGTGTTGTCACGTGACGCATGTTACTTTGCTCAGCATGGAACAATTAGTCGCTATAGTAGTTAAATTAGCTTGATTAATTTAGTATTTCCGTTTCATATCAGTCGAAAATGTTTAAATAACGTTTTAAATGGTTAATTCTACAATAACGCGGATGTATCCTCTAATATAATAAAGGTAATGAAGCTGAAGGAGCGACGCGCCCTCTAGAGGAGGAGTTTAGTCCTGCAGGAAATTGTTATCAGCTAGTCATCAAACGCTCTCATTTGCATCTTTAATTACATAAAGCGGCCTCAGAATGTCTTTTAAAAATATTTGTAGTCTTCTATCAGACTAGTGGAGAGAAAAGATCCAAAGCACAAGATTTAAACGTTTATAAAGGAGTTCAGAAACATGTTGATGTAAATCAAAACTGCCGTATGGTCAAGCTGATAATAATAGTGGTTAGCTGAATGCTGGACTCTGATTGGCTGGTGAGCATTCTGAAGCGTGACTATTTTCACCTACACAATATTCCAGATGAATTTCATTAATTTAAGCGCATTCACCTTAACAGATTATCATTTTACTGTAATAATAATAATACAAATCTTAAATTCTTTTAGCATTTGTTGTATCGATTATGGGAAGGCCAGTGCAAAGAAAGATTTTTTTATTATTATTTTATCCCTGTTATTGGCATATTTTTATATTAATTTAGAAATAATAGCACATGTTACTACCATCTTAATTATCAGCTCCTCTAACTTATTTTAAAGCTTCTCAAAAACTCAAGCGATGCACGCATTGATCTCTTTAATAAAAATAGTCAATAAGAAATACATATATACAATAAACAACATCCAGCAATGATCACGCTCAACTAAAACATGAATAAAGCCCTGATTTCACTTTAATAGAGCAGCAGAAAACAAAACTGTACATAATAGAAGCAATATGCTTAAAAAGAAACACACACACACACACACACACACACACTTATGGCTTCATTCCCATTTGTAGACCTTGATCATCTTCTCGGTCAGAGACGCCAGAAAGCTGCTCTGGTTGGCCTCAAACGGGCAGATGTCCAGAACGGGCAAATCCGCGGGCATCTTCTGCAGCAGAGCACCGGTGCCCGCGTCCCACACCTGAGGGAGGGAAACAATACATTAAAACAGTGTATAACACACACAGATATCAGACACACACACACACACACACACACACACACACACACACACACACACACACACACACACAGGGTGCACTCACCATGGTGGAGTTGGTGGCCTCGTCTCCCGCACACACCAGCGCTGCTCCTCCGCCCGCCGGGCTCCTGAACACACAGTTCTTGGTCAGCAGTTTGCAGGAGGAGCCGGCGCTGAAGGTCTGGACGGGGGAGCAGGAGCAGACGGAGGACTGGAGATCCACCTGAGGAGTTCTGCTCAGCTCCATCAGCACACAGCGCAGAGACGGGTTCAGGCGACCTGCGCACACAGAGAGACACACTCAGGTTTGGGTGGTGTATGAGGACTGCCCATAGACATGATCACACCAGCAAACACCAATCAGAGAAGAGGAAGAGCTGTGGGAGTGTGTGTGTGTGGGTGTCTATGTGTTTGAGTGGGTGTCTATGTGTTTGAGTGTGTGTGTGTGTGTGTGCGTCGATCTCTGTCTGAGTGTATCTGTGCTTGTGTGAGTCTGTGTGTTTGTGTGAGAGTGCGTGTGTCTGAGTCTGTGTTGCTCTGTGTTTGGGTTAGTGTGTGTGTCTGTGTGTTTGTGTAAGGGTGTGTGTCTGTGTGAGTGTGTTTGTGTGAGCATGTCTGTGTGAGTGTGTGTCTGTGTTAGTGTTGCTCTGTGTGTGTCTGAGTGTGTGCGTGTGTGTGTGAGTGAGTGTGTGCGTCTGCATTTGTGTGTGTGTCTGTTTGTGTGAGTGTGTCTGTGCAAGTGTGTGTGTGTGTGTGTCTGAATGTGTGTGTGTCTGTGTTTGTGTAAGTGTGTGAGTCTGTTTGTGTGAGCGTGAGTGTGTGTGTCTAAGTGTATGTGTGTGATTGTGTGTGTCTGTGAGTGTGTGTGTGTGTGTGTGTGCGCCTGCATTGTGTGTGTGAGTGTGTGTTTGTCGGTGTGTCAGTCTATTTGTGTTGCTCTGTGCGTGTCTGCGTTTGTGTGGGTGTGTGTGTCTGTGTGTGTGATTGTGTGTGAGTGATTGTGTGTGTGTGTATGTCTTTTTGTGAGTGTGTGTGTCAGCATTTTTGTGTATGTGTGTGTGTCTGTGTGAGTGTGTTTCTTTGTTTGTGAGTGTGTGTCTGTTTATGCGAGTGTGTGTGTGTGTGAGTGTGTGTCTGTTTGTGTGAGTGTGTTTGTGTTTGTTCAAGCGTGCCAGTGTGTGTGTCTATGTTTTTGTCTATTTGTGCGTCTGTGTGTCTTTATGCGAGTGTCTGTTTGTGTGCGCACGCGACTCTGTGTGTGTGTGTGTGTTTGTGTTTATGTGTGTGTGAGGTGTGTGAGAGTGCATGTCTGTGTGTGAGCTTGTTTGTGTGCTCATGTTTTTGTGAGTCTGTCTGTTTGTCTGTGTGTGTGTCTGTGTGTTTGTGTCTCTGAATGTGTTTGTGTGGGACTTGGTGTTTGTGTAAGGGTGTGTGTTTCTCTGCGTGTGCGCGAGAGTGTATTTGTGTGTGTGAGTGTTTACCTGGTCTGTAGGTGACGAGGCAGTGTCTGCTCTCCGCCTCCGCCTGTATGTGTGTGCAGTTCCCCGACTCCAGCGGGAGGATGTGTGGTGTGTGTGTGTTGTCGTTGTGTCGCTCCCAGAAGCATCCACCCTCCAGCGTGCCGGCGATCACACCTCCACACGGAAAGGAGGAAGAGGTGGAGGAGTGCGGGATGTAGGAGAGAGACACCACCGGACAGCTGAGGAACACACACACACACACACACACACACACACACACACACACACACACACACACACACACACACACACACACACACACACACACACAAAGAATTACGAAGCTAATTTTTCATCACCTGCACATGCAAACCATATAAGCGTGTGTGTGTGTGTGTGTGTGTGTGTGCGAGTTGTACCTGGAGCGCAGCGGGCGCAGCTCCTGCACGTGTGTACTGGTGTCTCGCGTGTCGTACACCAGCACAGATCCGTTACTCAGACCAGCGTAGATGTAGTTGTTGTTATCGTGACACCAGCAGCAGCTCCACACCGGCCGGCCAGTGTTATAGGCCTGAACCACTGTATTGGTCATCAAACTGTGGAAAACAAACACCCACGTCAACCACACCGTCAAAAACACCAGAACCAGAGAGAAACAACCCAATAATCACATCATTTTAGACATACACACAGACATTACACTGCATTTTAAATCCCTTTCATCAGGTTATTAATACATTTAGCCCATGCTTTTACACACACAGTTGCTATTTAGTTAGTAATGTGTCAAAAACAACACGCAAACACATTTAAATCCTACAAATAAAAGTTCTTTCTAGTTTTTTTGCTGCACTGAAGTGTAGTTGGAGCTTCATATGATTACAGCTGAAGCAACACTGATGATTTTAACTAAGTTTTCTCTGAGATTTGACCTAAATATCTTCATTTGTGGGAATTGAAACCACGTGAGTGGATGTAATTGAAAGCAGAATTAGATTTTAGTCTGAATTAACACTTTAATGTGAGCTCAGACACGGCTCCAGCATCCGAGTGTGTGACCTGGTGAGCTTGATGGTGTTGTCGAGCGCCGCAGACAGCAGTAACCCGTCCTGCTGTTGACTGAAGGCCAGGCCGCGGATCTGCTTGGAGTGAATGTGGACGTACTGAGAGGCTTTCAGAGTCGCAGTGCTGATCTTCTTCACACCGAAGCCTGAGGAGACGCAAGCATCAGACACATGAGCCACACATGCAGAACGTGCTGAAAATTACCTGCAAACTCCTGCAGAGAGATCATGTGTGAACAGACCCCTTTAAAAACACCAGTACATAACCAATCAGAGAGCTCTGTATAGGAGTGCAACAATACAGTTATTACGCTTCAGGACGGGGTTTGGGGTCCGTTCTTCGTACCTCGCTAAAATGATCTAAGATTATTTGGCAGATGCTGGATCTTTTAATCTTGATCTCTCGCTAATTTGGTTCTTCAAACAAGTTCGCGAATCAGATTAGAATGTCTGGATAAACTGATCTGAGATCGCTGCATGTGTTGTGAAGGACAGATCTATCGATCCTAGAAATCATGATCAGCAGTGCAACGATTGGCTGACGGCACAGCAGCGTAATGACATCATCTGATTAATATTCAATTATTCATGTGAGCAAAATTACATCAAATTAGCAGCAAACCGTTTATTAAATATGACACGCAATAACCTTCCACATATGTTGTGAGCTGCAGGCTTTATACTGTCATGTGTCAAGAGTATTCATCATGTATTTCAATGCATATCAGTGTATTTAGTTCTACATTTAGACAATATTGTCTATATTATTGTAGCCGTTTTTTAATCGGTGTAAAGAATAACTGGTTGTTTACAAAAGCATTTTCATATTGGTAAAGGCGTCTGCAACTATTGTGAAGCATCAAATCACCGGCATATTAACAATCAAAACATGTTTATGACTGCATAAATGTATTATTGCTTTAAAAAAAATCACATATTCTGCATTTCTATCACACAATTTGT